GAAAAAAACATTAAATTTTAAACTTAAGGTTTATTTCGGACTGACGTGAAATGATTAGATTTTGGACAAAGTCGGAACATCTGGGGGGGTACTTTATGGGAGGACGTTTTTATATTTTATGGAAAATATCTGTTATTTATGTTTGGAGAAGAAAATTGTTCAAATAAAAGTTACTTCTAATATTATTATCTATAATTTTTGTTTTATGTCAAAATTTCCTGAAATGGTCCGTATTCGAGAAATTTGACAAAATGTGCAAAATTCTGAATTTTATGAAAATTGTTGAACTAAAAGTTGTTTAAGATATCGATCTCTATAATTTTTGTTTATACATGATTTTTTTGAAATGGACCGTAATGGAAAAGTGCTAAATTAAAATTTTTCAGTATTTTCGTTTTCAATGAATATCTATAGAAAAATGTTTCGAGGTAGATGTATGTGGACAATGTATATATTTAGTTTATCCTCTAAACATTTATAGAGATGCTGCAATAGGTTGTACAAAATAACCGGAAAAAGCCTATAATAACTAGATAGGAAAGTCATGTGTTGGACACATCAGATTTTTAAGCTTGGCTTTCTGACGAAACTTGATGGTCCTGGTCCTAGTTGTTTCATATTCTTTTCCGTGGGATCAGTCATTCTCAGGAAACGCGTCGTGCGAACGGCACGCGTCTTTCGCCGGCTCCACCCAATTTCTTTCTTGTCGCAACTCGCCATTTGTATTACATTCGCATCCGGATGAACATCCGTATTGATTATTGCGGATGCGGATGCAGATGCGGATGTTCAAATCTATGCGGAAACTCCGCATTTGCAGATGCGGATGCGAATATTCGCAACATCCCTGATTTGGAATATGTTTATTAATTTAAGAGTTACACTTTATTTATTTCTAAAACATTGTAGTAAAATATGCAGAATCGATTGATTCAACCTGAAATATTGAAGAAGATACAAAAGGAGACCATGAAATAGAAAAAGTGAAGCCTCTAAAAACACTCAAAAATGGTGATTTTGTATGGGTTAATTTTGTAGGAGGCAAAAGAAATGCTCAGAAGTTTACATAATATGTATGTATTGTATAGGAGATCGTCGGGGACCACATTAGTATTAAACGGTATTGACACAAGCAAGAAAACATTAATTGTAAATGAAAAGGATGTGTTTTAAACAGTTTCTGTTGGTGAGATTTTTGGAACACTAGAAAACCCTGAGGTGGTTTCTATTGGTGAACGTTTAAGATATGTATGTAAAAGTTCTGTAATAAATATTCATGAAAAATAAAAAATGTATTACCATTTTATATATGTTTATATTGTCTATATAGTACATGTAAAATAAGTATATGTTTGTTAAACAATGTTTATTAATAAATTTTATTTTTATTACTAGTTTTCCCTCTGTTTAATTATTGTCATCCATTTGTACCATTTCTTTTAATATCAGCTATTGAAACATTTGACATGTCAGGCAGTGGTTCTTATATGTCATACACAGGTACATAGGTGTATTGAAAAAAAAAAACATTTTGAAAAAAAAAACAAAAATATTTAAATTAACTAAATTAGAACCCAGAGCATTCAATAGCTGATTGTATGAGTGATCACTTGTTTTTTTGGAATTATTTTTAACGTTCCTTTAGCAAATAATTTTTGTTTTAGTAAAATTACATCCTTATAACTTCAGTAAGGTAAGGTGGGGTAAGAGCGTTTCTGGGGTAAGAGCGACTATGGCTAATAAATAACACGAAAAATATATAATATTACGTGCGACCCGTTCCACTAGTAGTACTATAAATAATAAAATGTCCCATCTCTATTAATTTGCTCTACACCTCCGCGCGCTTCAAGGTTACCAAACGGTTGTTATTCAGTTTGATGTTGGCTTTCGGAGCGAGTATAACGAAGATTCTTGTGCACTGCCTAGAAATTAGAAAAATACAGGTGAGAATATTTGCTTCTTTGTCACTAACTATAATTATTATAACTTGTGAACACTGTAGGGATTAAAAATTGTTAGTAGTAAGTTTATAGTTTGTAAAGATGAGTAGCGCACTTGCCCCTGAATTTTTTGGAACTGGGGCAAGTTCGTTCATTGGTCACGGGGCAAGTGCGTTCTTAGAGCGCACTTACCCCACACATTATAAAAACCATTTATAATTTTAGGAAGATGCGCAACTATAAACGAAAAAGTGATAGAGCTACTAAATATACAGCAGAAGTTCTACAACGTGTAGTGGAAGATGTAAGCAAAGGAGTGATTACAATAAGAGGAGCATCAAAAACCTATAACATACCAACGACAACAATTCGCGATCATGTAAAAAAAAAAACGTGGTCTTAAAAGCTGTAACATGGGTAGGTCACCTGCAATACCTGTTGACTTGGAAGTAAAATTGGCAGATGGAATAAAATCCCTAGAGAAATGGGGGTTTGGGTTATCTAGGTATGAGATAATGGAAATTGTCAGAATTTTTGTGGAAGAGAATAATTTAAAAACACCATTTAAAAACAACAAGCCGGGCGAAGACTGGTTTCTAGGATTTAAAAAACGACATGGGCTATCGATTAAAAAACCCCAAAGTGTTGAATATTCGCGAAAAAAGAATACAGATCCTTTTATTATATATGAATACTTTCAATTACTTAAGTCGACATTAGAAAATTTTGCTTTACTTGACAAACCAAACCAAGTTTGGAATTTAGATGAAACTGCCATGTCGTTAGATCCGTCAAAGACTAAAGTAGTAGGTGCACGTGGAAAACCATGTTCTCGAACAACGAGTGGCCCAGGAAGGGAAAGTACCACAGTACTTGCAGCAGCAAGTGCTTCAGGAAAAAAGGCACCACCGCTTATTATATTTAAAGCCAAAAATATCTGGAATGAGTGGCTTCCTAAAACGGAAATTTTTCCAGGAACGGTCTATGCAGCCTCCTCTAATGGTTGGATGGAGTCGGACATATTCCGTAATTACTTCGAAAAAAGTTTTATTCCTACTCTTGGTGATAGTCGTCCAGTTTTAGTACTATACGATGGCCATAGTACTCACGTTACTGCTAGTATTGTAGAACTTGCAGTTAGAGAACAGATTACGATCTTAAAGCTTCCCCCACATACAAGCCATTTACTACAACCACTTGACTTGGCAGTATTTAAGCCTTTAAAGGATATGTGGGATCGAAAATTGGTTGCGTGGCAACGTACAAATTCAGGGTATAAAATTCCGAAGGTGCAGTTTTCTACTCTGGTAGCAGAAACTTGGAGAGATTTAAAGACTGATGTAATCATTAGTGGATTTAAGAAAGGAGGAATTATACCCTTTAATGACCAAGTGATTCCTGAAGATAAATTCGAGCCCTCTGCGTTACTTCGTTGGAAACAGCATAAGGCAGCCATACAGCTGCAACCACTTACTACTGCTCAGAGAAATAGAGAAATTGAACAACCGTTAGTAATTGTAAATGAACCCACGTTTGATAATAGACAACTAGATTCAGAAGATAAAGAACAATTGGTTGACTCGAACGAACAGCCACCTACACCTGTTCCATCAACTTCGTCTTCTCTGCTAGTTTCCTTTGAAGATCTTCTTTTGCAAAAAATTAATCAAACAAAGCAACCCGCAGCTAAACCAAAAAGACGAATTGCTGGTGGTGCTGAAGTGATAACGTCGCTGGAAGCTATTGCCAGAATGGCAGAAGTGGAGAAGAACAAAGCTGCAGAACTGGAAAGGAAAAAAACTTTTATAAAGAAGGGAAAAGTTTCAAAAAAAAGTCAGAAAACTTCAAAAGGTAAAAGACATGTTAAAAAAATTTTAGAGTCACCGAGTAGTTCCTCTAATAATGAAGAAGAACCTTTATACATTGACACTGACGATGATTTTGATACAGACAGCGATTTTAATGAGGAGGTATCTAATGCAGAGAACCTGCATCCGTTGTTAAGTATAGAGGTAGACCGATGGATCGTTGTCCAATATAATACAAAGAAAACAACACGACATTATGTCGGACAGGTATTGCTTCATTTAAATAAATTATCAGTAAGTACGTTTTACTTATTTTTATCACTTTCAGGTTACCCATAAAATTGGTAACGACGAATGGACTGTAAAATTCACAAAACATAATAAAGGGAAATTTTATTGGCCAGAAACAGAAGATTTAGATAATGTGACCAATACGGATATTATAAAGGTTTTGCCTGATCCAAAATTAGATCGTCGAGGAGATGCTTGGATTTTCGATTTTGACTTTCATAAATTTAACATTAACCTTACTTAACAATACACAAATTAATTAAAAATTACTTTATGTTACTAACGTACTTTAAATCAGTTATTTTGAGAATAAATCACATATTTTTTCTTTTACTTCGAAAATTTTATTTAGTTCTTTCCTGTTATATAGTTTGTAACTTTTAAACCAATCAACTTATTTTAATTCTGCAAACGGGAGAAAATAGCTCAAACCTGCCTTTAGCACGATCTTACCCCAAAAACAATTTTAATGAATTACATTATATTTAAACAGATAGAAACGCACTTGCCCCAAAATTTTTAAAAAGTGCGCTATCTTGCAATTTTTTTAAAAAATATGGCTGTAGCGTATGAACCGTTATCCAGCGTATATCTACTTATAGATTTGTTTGGACATTCTACTAACAAACTGATGCCCAAAAGTTGAAAACCATATAGTAAATCATAAATCTTACACTTAGTAACAAATGTCAACTATTCAAAAATCGGTGCGCACTTGCCCCATCTTACCTTACACTTCTTAATCAAATATTATGTTTTTATATTTTTTTGTTTAAAAGGGTAAAAAATAAAACGTACAGAAAACAAATTGGTAAACTTTGCAATTTAAAGTATAAAAAAACCTCTTCAACCATATAAATTTATTCACTGCAGCAGAAGTCCGAGGTCAAAACCTTTTATTTTTAATATTCTTAAAAATCGATTTAATTTTTTTAACATATTATTTTCTTGTTTTCAGATTTTTGGGAAACGAAACAAGAAACTCTAAAATGGCTTCCGTCTCTATGAAAAGTAGGTAAACCACAACTTTACCTTGTTTTTGAGGAAATAATAATCCCTTATCATTAGAATTTCCTTAATAGTAGATGCGTAAATTTTTAGAATGCATTCCTTTAAGAGCCATAATATGGATAATGTGTTTTACTTGCACATTATTCCTTTACATGTTGAGGATCAACTTGTCCATCATAATTCTGGCAATGGTTGAACCTAGTCAAGGAAATGAAACTTTCGTTCCAGAATGTAGGAAAACAGATAACATTTACAATGACAGTATTATCGCTGAAGCACACAATTCAGGAGCAGAAGATGTAAGTGAATATTTTTAATACATATCTCTTATGAGGGTAGAATAATTCTATGCTCAAAATAACAGATTTTTCGACAATATTTAGGGTTCAAAAATGCAATAAATAAAAAATCATTAGACGGTGAAAACCTCAAAGTTAATTAATAGAATAGTAAAAAACCAAATGAAAAGGTTTACAAATTTAAAACTTAGTGGAATAAAATAAAATAAATAGAAATAAATCATCAATACGGATACATCCATAATATTTTTAATCAAAATTAATTAACAATCAATAATTTGAATACAATCAACCATTTTTTTTACAGTATGGTACGAGATATAATTGGGACAGTAAACTGCAAGGTTTACTAATAAGTTCGTATTTTTGGGGATTTACCCTATCTGGCATGCCCGGTGGAGCTTTGGCAGAAAAATTTGGACCTTCAAAATGCGTTAGCGTTTCCTTCTTAGTAAGTGGATTGCTTACCCTGATAGCTCCTTGGATGGCATCTTTACATCCCATTGCTTTGATGATTTCAAGATTTTTTATTGGATTATTTGGGGTAAGTTTAAACAACAGTTCTTTTTCTACATATTCTTTTGAGGTCCCTCAAAAGACCACGCACTTTTCTTATGCAAACGGGAGTACCGTCAAAATGTCTGAATTTTTGATATGTTAAATAACTTGATGTCTCCATCAAAAGTGTCCATAGGCCCAATCGTATCCTATGACTAGATTTTGAGATACAGGGTGTTGAAGTTAGAAATCCATAGTTCTTTAAAATGGACACCATAAATCACCCTTAAATATTTTTGGAAGTTTTTTGCTCATTCTGTGTAGTCAAAATACATACTTAACTAATATAATTAAAATATTGTACCTTACGGGGTGATTAATGATTCGGCAAATCTTTTTTGGTCAAAGTAGGTATTCCCACCGAACAAAAATAGCTAAAATACCGAAAGAAAAAAAATATCACCGCCAAAGTCTCTCAATATTTGGTATCGTATAGTACTCGATGTACTCGTTCAAAATTCTAATTGGTAAAATTAGATCCTATGACTAGTTTTCCAAATATAACTTAATATGTACCAAATATATGAATTTTAAACAATAAATATATACTGACATAAGTAGATATTTTCAAAAGAAATATCTTATATTAAATATTTTGACATACTGTTTTAGATTAAGAATACACCCCTTGTACTATTTGTAAAGGGAAAAAAAATCGTACTTACAGGGTGATCGCGGTTGAATACAGTTAAATCAACGAAATGTTGAAATTGTTGCCAAAAAATAAAAAATAATTATTGTTCATCAAAAAAATAGTATCAGTCCATATTACAGGGTCATACTTTATTTCGGTACAAAAAGTTGATTATATGGTAGGTCTCAGTAGGATGTGCAGAAATGATTTATGATCGGATTACAGGTTTATTTGGCTCGAGTATTGTCATAAGTGCCTCTTTGTATTGTATATTTAAATAAGATTATGAGCTCCATTCACGCCACCAATGAGGTAAAGCCCCCAATACATTTTGTTTTAAGTCGCATCCCTTGAAGGATGGTTACAGTTAAACTTGCAAGGTGGAAAAATCAACAATATATAAAATTATTGCCAAATATTAGAAAATAAATTGCTTGTAAGTTCTTTATTGAAAAAGATTACAAATATACATACATTAATATTTTAAATAGCCAATACCAAACTTTGTCAAACTGACATAGTTTTTGGAATAACTAGAAATTAAAAACATTTAATGGAGCCTCAGAATGAAGTAGTCAATGAGCAGAAAAATCTGGGAAGTTATCCATTTCTTAACTACTGTTTCATTGCGAGTTTTCTTCTAGGAAATCCATTGAGTAATAGTTATGCACACAATGAAGTATACATGTCATATCTACTTATTGGTACTCATTCATATAAGAAATAGTATTTACATGTTATTGGTTTCAAATATTTAACATAAGTTGAGCAGACATATTATTGTAATTTAATTTTCACGAAACATTTGTTAATATTTTTATAGTTTACAGCTTACCTGTTCCTCTTGATTTTTCAAGGGCTTCTCAAAACAATATGTTATGAATATAGGGTAATAAAATATTCGTAATTTTCGAATAACCTGCCTGTTTTTATATTTTCATTATGCAAAGGCATGCAAGTCGTTATGTTAAGTATTTAATGATTTAAACTTGGAAATCTAGATAATCTTTAATATCCTGTAACTCCGTAATTATTCACTTCAGACGTTAAGCTTGTTGTAATAGACACAACCAAGGCATTTTAAATCGACTTGGGTCCGATACCGTGTTAAGAATCACCCTGTATATTCGTAATGATAAAATATAAAGCTAAAGACTGTCTGCATGCCTGAAGTTTTGCTTTTTTATATTTACTATGATAATACATAATATTTCCGAAGATTTTCACAAAAATTGATTACCCTGTATATTTTGTAACCTATGAGTTTTAGACGATTGATAGATTTTATTAGTAAATTCTAAATAGTGTTGAATATGCCAACAACCTTATAGGATATATAAACATGCTTACACTTTATTTATATATATTGATGTAGAAGGCTATGATTAAATATTTTCCGAATAATTGAACATATTGTTGACTTTTATAATAAATGACGTTTGTATTACTTTAAGCGAGCATTAGACCGTTCTGTATTAGTGTTTTAAATAAATATTGTTGCAAATATGGCGTTTGCAAATAGGATTAGCTGTTATGTTTGCAATAGACACTTTCAACTTCGACTCACTATTCGTTTAGACGAGGACAATAATATAGATGTGCTTAACATTGCTAATTTTAGAAGACAAGCTGCCGGACATCCTGCAGTCGATAATCTACAAGAAGTAAGATTATGTTTAAACTGTTATCACGCAATTACACAGGAACTTAGAAATATTGAAATTGATCCAAATTGCCTAAGACTTAATGTTTTAACACCCCACTCAGTTCGTGGTTGTATAATTTGTAACGCACAAGTAAATGTAAGAAAACTATCTCCAGTATGCAGAGCAAATATTTTTTTAGTCTCAAATATTTATGTACCCGAATATCTGAAGATTTGTGACATTCATCCAAATCATTCGGGTTTACTAATTATTAATTTACATACTGGTTTGCGTTTTGTTTATAGATCATTCCTCCACGTTAATATTCAGCAATTTTTGTCTAGTTTAAGAGCGGCTGCTAATGCTAATAATAATTTAAAAAATTGGGAACCCATAAATACTTTTAGTTTAGAAGAATTTAAATATTTAACTTCAATTTCTAAAGAGAATTTTCAAGAATTATATGAATTTTGTGAACCAATAGAACAATATGGTAACTTAAGAAGCATTCCTCAAAAAGATTTACTTGCTTTCCTTGTTAAACTAAGACATGGATTGTCAGATGAGTTCATAAAATTACTTTTTAATTATTCATCCCGACAAGTCACTAGTATAGTCATATCTAAGGTCCGTATGTCCCTGCTTCAAACCTAGTAATATTGGATTTAGATCAATAACCAGAGAAAACTATATCATAAATGATGTCCCTGAATTCGTAAACGCGCTTTACAACCCTATATTTTACAGCCATATTTTATGCCGATTGTACATATAACTCAATTGAAAAAAGTAGTAATTTTAGAATATTATGTCAGTTCTATTGCTATTTTAAGAAGGAACATTTAGTTAAGCCAGAAATTACAGTAGCTCCTGACGGATATATTTTATCAATCAATGGTTCCTAATTTTCTGATGCATCTAATAATGATGCAGCAATCTTACGGCAACAATTGGTTAATGATAATAATGAATTTAGAAACTAAATTAGAGAAGGAGATATAGTAATAGTAGATAGAGGCTACAGATTAGAAGAACTTGGGTTAATTACTTATATGCCACCTTTGCTTCATCAAAACCAACGGCAATTATCAACAAGTGAAGCTAATAGAGCGAGACTAATAACTAAAACTCGTTGGGTTATAGAAGCCAGAAATGGACATTTTAAATCCATTTTTAAATTTTTTAAAGGCCGCATATCCACGCATCATGCAATTAATTTGAGTGGTTTTTATCAGATTGCGTTGTTAAATAAGTTTCATCCTCTTATAAACCTACCAGGTACAATGGACATAGCAGTTGAAATTTTAAACAAACTAGATGACGTTAATATTATACAAGCACGCGTCGAAGCCCAAAATCTGACTACCAGAAATGGTCGGTGGCGAAGATTGAACCACATGCATATTCCTGAATTTCCTCGCGTAGAGATCAATTTTCTAAAAGACTTGGTAGGTTCTTACCATAATTTATTCTAGGTTCAGAAACGCAACTAAATATATGCTGTGGTTGGCATACGAAGAGGAACTTAATGAAAATATTGATCCAATTTTCTACTATTATTGTACATGTCCATGCGGTTCGAGAACTTTAAGTACTTGCGCACATGTTGCATCAGTGTTATGGTTTCTTGGTTATGCAAGGCACCAGAATAATATAAGATTTCCAACAACACGTTTACTAAATAGCATCGAAGATGCAGCAGACCGATTATTTCCAGAAAATATCGATCTCGGTCCCATAGTAGAAGAAAATTAATTGGTATTACCATCTCGTATTTGCACCTAATACTTAACGTTAACGTCTTGGTTCAGTTACGTCAGTTATTTGGTCGTTTATCTTTAGTTCAGGCTGTTCTTTTAATTTAATATTTGACTTTTGTTTTCTTATATACCTTACAAAGTATCTGAATTTATATCTTTAGTGTTTGTAATAAATTTAGTTGTCCTTTGTAATTGCTATTATTGTTATATTTTTCCAAGTTATGAGAACATTAATAACAATGCCAAAAAAGAGAAAAGAGAATTGGTTGTTGTGAAAATTCTACGTACATACGTGCTAAACTTGATGCCAAAAAAGACTTGCCAAAAATGTAATGATCTCTTTATATAAATAAGTAAGATATATTGAGATACATGGAGAAATGGGTGGGTGGGTGGAACTCGAACATTCAAAACCGGTTTTATTATCTTGTAGCTGCCTTAAACCCCTTGAGTTTTAAATCAAGCGAACAGCTACACAAAGCTGAATTTTTTTAGTTTTTTAATTTCTCACCCCTAAGGTCCTAGCTAAATATTTTATTTTTTCACTAATTTTTGTATAGGGTGTAAACCACATAAAACACAATTTTTTCACACTAGCCTAAATTAATGTTTTTTTGGTAATTTTTGACCTGTCCTATTATACAAGCAGTGCATTATTCCTACAGGGGCTAACACTTTACGCGGAAAGGAGATCCCAATCTGATATAAATATACAATATAAAGAGGCAATGCTCCAGTCAAAATAAACATTTAATCCGATCATTATTCATTTCCCTAGATCCTACTTATACCTACCGTATAATGAACTTTTTTTGTAATACAATAATGTATGACCCTGTATGTAAACTAATAAGATTTTTTTAATAAACAATTTGCAAGTTAAAAGGCAATTATTTTCTATTTTTTGCCAACAATTTCAGCATTTTGTTGATTTTTTCCTTTTACATATTCAACCGCAATCACCCTGTAAGTACGATTTTTTTGTCTCTTAGAAAATAGTACAAGGGGTCAGTATATATTTATTGTTTAAAATTCATATATTTGGTACATATTAAGTTATATTTGGAAAACTAGTCATAGGATCTAATTTTACCAATAAGAATTTTGAACGAGTACATCGAGTACTATACGATATCAAAATATTGAGAGACTTTGACGGTGATATATTTTTTTTTCGGTAATTTAGCTATTTTTGTTTGGTGGGAATACCTACTTTGACCAAAAAAGATTTGTCGAATCATTATTCATCCTGTAAGGTACAATCTTTTAATTATAGTAGTTAAGTATGTATTTTGACTACACAGAATGAGCAAAAAACTTCCAAAAATATTTAAGGGTGATTTCTGGTGTCCATTTTAAAGAATTAGGGATTTCTAACTTCAACATCCTGTATCTCAAAATCTAGTCATAGGATACGATTGGGCCCAAGGACACTTTTGATGGGGACATCAAGTTATTTAACATATCAAAAATTCAGACATTTTGACAGTACTCCCGTTTGCATAAGAAAAGTGCGTGGTCCTTTTTACCAATTTAAACCAACATATTTTGTTTTTAATTTTAGGGTGTTGTTTTCCCTAGTCTTCACTGTTTGGTAGCTAGATGGGCTCCTCCAGATGAAAAAGGTAAATTTATAGGAGCCCTACTCGGAGGATCGCTAGGCACTGTGATAACATGGCCCCTATTGGGAGCTATCATTGAAAAATTTGGATGGACTTGGGCGTTTCTTGGCTCAGGCATTATTGTCATTGCTTGGACTCTGTCGTGGTGGTTTTTTGTGACTGATTCGCCTGAACAACACCGATATATATCCGATGACGAAAAAAACTACATTTTAGATAGTTTGAAGGATACAATTTCGAATGTTAAGGTAAGTATCCTAATAAATGAGTTGGCGGAATATTGTTCGAAATAAGTTCGAATATTTTGTTTCAAAAACCTTAGTTTTAAAATGCCTTTCTTTAAGGTTTATATGGACCCACCTCCTCACTCGTTTCTGACTCTACAGATGGCTCTACCTGTCGAATCAAATTTAGTATACAATTTATTAAAGTTACAGGGTTCTACCTATGATAGAATAATATTTCGTTAGTTTATATCGCCGCCAAAAGAGACTGCCAGCACAATAATAGATTACGCGGGAGATCTTTATGATTCGATGCGAAGAACATTGCCAAACTTCAATATACCTAATTATGTTTTATTTGTTTATGTTGTAAGCCGCGGGAGGTGAGGTGTTGAGCGCGGACGGCCCAAGCGATCCAGCTAAGAGATGGATATGACCTGGCGAGCTTTTGTTAAGTCTTCCACTGGTCCGCTCAATCATTCTCAACTATGAACTTTACTGAAATAAAATTATTTAGGGTAAGCGCATTATCCTTAAAATATGGTATAAAATTAGAACAATATAATCTATGTGGTTTGGCGAATGGACTCAGTTCACGCAGTCAAAAAATTGAAATAAAAAAAACTGACTGGAGGATACGTTCGCGCGTTATGGTTGGGTACTATTTAATAATTAAATGAATATTAAATAATTTCAATGAAAACTATCCATAATTTTAAAGGTGAGAAGAGAAAGAAAAAAAAAATAGACAGAAAGGGAAAGAAAGAAAGAACGTAAACAAACGCTCAAGAAATGCAACTTCCAGACGATTCAATGTACACCTCAGGTATACATTTTTGAAATCGAATAGTATAAAAGAGTAGAAAAATGTGATAGTATACAGAGTAACTAACTAATATGTACCTTAAAGGTAAAAAAATGACTCAAAATCAATCCCACGTAATTTAATTTTAGGAAGTTAAATGACAACCGGTTTCGGGATTAGGCCATCATCAGGTCTAAAAATGAAGTAATAAGCGCTTACAATATAAAATGACGTCTCCGTAAAATATTTAAAAAAAATACACGTGTATGATTAAAAAGGCAGTTGTAAGAGATACCATATGTGGGAAATATGATAGAAATTGTACAAGTTGAAAAAGATTTGCATGAAGAAACTTATAGGCTAACACTACTCATCGCCATATTCTCAGATTTATCAACATGTCCCACATATGATATTTCTTACAACTACCTGACCCTTGTTGGGGCTCGGTTTTAATCATGCACGTGTATTTTTTTACCTTTTTATGGGAACGTCCTACTACTGTTTTGTTAGCGCTTATCACTTAATTTTTAGACCTGATGATGTCCTAAGGCCAAAACATTTAACTTAATAAAATTAATTTATATGGGATTGATTTTGAGTTATTGTCTTACTAATATATAGGGTGTTTCATAACCGGGGAGGAGACCGTAAAAGTTACAACGAGTATACCACGAGCAGAATTGTCCCTTTATATGATTTTTGACTTGTTCTTGTATTTTTTCATGAAAGCCTCACCTTTAAAATTATTTAGAGCGGATAATTTTCATTGAAAATTCCTGTGTAGGGCAAAGTGCCAATACAATGACGTTGTATCCATTTTTCATCTCTGATAGACAAATCGTCATTTCATTGGTGATATAAGATCACTGAAAAGTCATAAATGTTGAATAACAAAAAACTGGTTATTTAGCATTTGTCAGAGAATTCAGTATATGATTAAATTCAAAATTATTCTTTAAATGTTCCAATTGTGGATTTGTGAAATCAATAACCACAAATAAAGAAACTTAAAAGTTAAATCTTCTGGCTACTACATCTATTAGCAAGGGACATAACACTTTGCAAGAAAATTTGTTAAAATTGGGTATTTCTTCTTTTGATATTCTCACGTTTTGCATGTTTCTTAATAAAATATGTTACAATTAATGAATTTAGGGGTGACCATTCAATAATTATATCACTAGAGCCTTAATCATATTGCCTTGAACTTGGCTTTGTAGCCCTTAACTGAATCAGGGTCCTAATCTCGACATTAGGACCTAACACGTCTCTGTAAAAGGGCTGAAAAAAACACAATGTTTTCTTAAAACAAATAGTATTTCTATTAGGAAATATGATATATTCGGCAATTTATGAGTTTTAAGATATAAGCCGAATAACACGTTGTTCTAGGCAACAGTAGTACAAACTAAAACCACAATGATTGACTGTTTGGACTAGACTGCTTTGCCCGGGAATATTAATTGTAAATCATGCCTCTTCCATTACCTTAAGGGCTAACAATTTCTGTGCAAAAAAACAATTCTACAAAATACTTCACAGCTGAACATACACAAATATGGACACACTATCTTTAAAACAATTTAGCTTACCAACTGCAATATCTGCGACACATGTAACAACAATTTGTTAAAACCGCGATTTAAAATAAAAAAGGACTTTTAATTTTCTACGATGGAGATCCAGAGCCTTTGGTCGATGTCTTAGTGATCAGGAACCGTTACTGGAAATATCCTACAAGGAGGCTCTCTTATGAACCCGATGAAGAGGATCCTCTATTGTGGAAAACGCCCTGTGTCTCTTTGAGGTTACCTTTATAACTTCTGCATAGTTTATTGTTATTAAACTAATATTTAATAATTATTAAATAATCAATTTTGTACATGATTGCAACTTAAAACCAATTCGCGAAATAATTAAACAAACTTTTACGTACAGGGTGTTATTTAAATAGATAATTAAAATTTGGAAAAATGTGAATTTATACGAAGCGTGACAATAATATTAAATTTATAACAAAACAAATCGAAGAGTAAGAAGAGGTAGGTACGATTCATACCTACAACAACGGTTCTAAAACAAAACAAGGCTTAGGATGTGGAATATACTTCACATCTTTAAACCTAAACATAAAATGGGCTGTGAGCAGTAATGCCAGTGTAGTTCAAACCGAACTCATGGGAATTCTCATAGCAGCAAAAGAAATCACAAGAAACAATATCACTGGAAGGAACATGCCATCTATACAGATAGCAGACTTCCCCTGGACAGACCACGAATTTACTCAGGGTTGGTACTAGAATTTCATGAAGCTTTGGCCGAAGTATCCATTAATAATGTGTTTAACTTAAGATGGATCAAAGGTCACGTCACATTGAAAGGTAATTGTCTTGCTGATTCACTAGCCAAGCAGACAGCCAACCAAATACTTTTTGGACCTGACCCTACTATTGGCCTGACAAAATCGGTAGTGACAGACCTAATTAAAGAATATTCCCTTGTGAAGTTCAAGGAAATATTGAATAAAACAAGAAGTTGCAGGGAGCTTTCATGTTACCTGACAACACTACAGCAAACAAATACTTGACTATCACTAGATGCCTGATCACAGGCATTCTGACGGGTCACTGCCAAGTAGGGAAGCATCTCCATGTCATGGGGCTGGCAGAATCCGCACTCTGCAAAGGGTGCAAACAAAAAGATGATATCATCGAGTATATCGTCTGCAAGTGATCGATGCTCACATTTATTAAATGATTTGTATTCGTTGATAATTGGCTAACACCAGCCGATATAAGAAAGGCACCTCTTGGCAATATTGTCAACTACATTAAATCTGTAGGCTGGCTCACGAGCTTAGGAGGTGCCGATCTATTTAGGAAGATGCAAAATGGGTTTAGTAAGGCCTAAGTGCCGTGGGTTAACCCACCCTCCACACGTTACAGATATAGATGTTAAACTTAAGAAACTGTTGCAATTGAAACATATGCTTCTATTACAAAGAATACAGTTGTTGAATGTGGTTTATTCATCTTTTAAGAAAAATGTTATCGTTTCTTAGGAACTTCACCGGATGGATTGGTAGATGATGCTAAAATTTTTTAAGTAAAGTGTTTTTACTCAGCTCGAGAATTTGCACTATTAAATGCACAAAAACATGTTAAATACTTTTGTTCTACTACTGCTGATGGAAAAAAATTGTTCCTTAGGAAAACCATAACTATTTTTACTAAGTAAATGTTTAGCAATGATTTATTTTTTGTAGGATCAATAAGAATTTTTAAAAGGTATATTTAATAAATTTATTTATAATAGAAATAGTTTTTTTTTTTAGTTAAAAAAAATATGAAATACCTACTAAGGTAATATGGTTTTTGAGCCAATCAGATTTTTACGAATTTATATTTTTTAACAGAAAAAATGTCATTACTAAATACCTGTTTCAAAATCCGTTTTTTTTTACTTGCCAACCTTCTTAAATATCGTCCTACGATCCAATTTCTACCAAAAACTAATCAACATGCAATTAACATGATAGTGATATTGTAAACATTTGTTCAACTTTTTTAATTGATAAAACACATGCATCATTCAGAATGTACCTTTCATTTAATAATAAAATAATTCAAATATTCTGTAAAATGAATAGGTACGTTTGCATCGACCGAATTAAATAGAAAAATATTTATTTAATCCAGCGAACTTAGTAATACAACTCGATCTGGCAACACGGTAGCGTTGGTGTACGCGGACATCCGAAATTTCTGTTTGAGTAGGAAATTTAGTGCTCTCTGTGAGCAATTTTAGAAAGTACTAATTGAGATGGCAGCACCTCTCAGAGATGAGACTTTGAAAGAGGAAATTATTCACGAAATTTATAAAAAACTTATTAATGTTTTGAGGTCAATGTCTTTAAATATAATTATTGAAGGTATATTCTTTAATATTCCATTCATTTTTATAGTTTAAATCTAATTTTTGTTAATAAAATAAATATATTCTTCAATTACGTCATTTCTGCAAGTTCAAAAATTTTCAAAAAATTTATGTAAGTTTCTTAACCAAAACTAATTTATTTTATGAAATAATGATCTCTCTTGATAGTCTAGTTTCTTTGTTTTATAATTGTAAAAAAAGTAAATTTTCCGATGTTTCTTGAGAACAAATGATACAAACCGGATCAAATTTTGGTAAAATAATACTTAAGGTTGTATATACATTCACACATTTTTTCAAAAATTTTGAACGTGTAGATACTTTTTCCGGGGGTCCATATAAACCTTAAAAACCCCTAATTCCAAAATACTATAATCAAAATCCGTATAGAGAATTAAAAATAGAAAGATTTTTTTTTATTTCCAGAAATTTCCACCGTACAAGCAAATAGCTTTAACCGTGCCATTTTGGGCACTGCTTGTCCTCCATTTTGGAAACTTGTGGGGTCTTTTCTTCCTCATGACGGCAGGACCAAATTTCATGTCGTCAGTATTGGGTTTCACACTCGGACACACAGGAATTCTTGCAGCTTTGCCGTATTTGGCTAGGTTGATTTTTGGAATCTTATTTGGACAATTGGGTGATTTTATTCTAAGAAAAAATTTTATGACTAAGACGAAGATTCGAAAAAGTTTTATTTTCTTTTGTGAGTATTATCATGCACATTCAGTATATATTTATTTATGGTTATTCACGTGTTTGGAAACCATTTGTACTAAAATAATTTGTTTGGTTACATGTGGCAAACTGATTTCAGTTGTAATACATAGAGAAGATAAGTCTGTAAACAACATGACATAATATTACATTTTTATTTCGTCTAAATTATAAATTTTAATAAAACTATATGAAATCAATTTAAATACGCGTATTAAAAGTAAAATGTTAGGTATGGCGATGGAGCTGAGATTAGCGCATTTGTCTGCTCTTTGCAATGCTCAGGAATGCCTCTGCTTCTATGAACTCAGATTTGGTTCCTCTTTTATCGAGCGCGTCGACTCTTTTATTGCTTTCCACATGCTATGTCCCGAAATCCAGATCAAAGTAACTTTGTTCCGCACACCGAGACACTCGAAGGTATTTTTACAGTTCTAAACCAACTTTGAGTTAACATGATTGGAGGTAAGGGCCTTAAGGACTACCTGGCTCTTCCAAAAGATCTTTATAGTCTTGTTAAAATAGATTTCGTCTCTTGAGAGAAGATAAAGGAAAAGAAAGGAATACTGTTCCTGAATTTCTACAATATCTTGATGAAAGAGATTGGAGGAAAGACGGAACGGGAAAATAACCTCCTACTGCGGAAGAACACACGAGAGGTGAATCAGTCCTTGGTCGCAAAACCACAAGAAAGTGGGGCTACAAAACAAGTGGCTGAGGCTCTAATGGAAATAGGGGGCTCGAAATCCACAGCATATGAGCTAGGTGAAGACGAGGAGAGGACTCTTTTAGGGAAGTCACCGCTGTCTGACCCGGCTGATGTGACGGAGGAGGAAGAGGACCCGATGTAAAGAACTAGGGGGTAATCCAAGCAAATATACATCACTGTTGGGCAGCAACAGCTGTCCTACAACGATGTATAGTAAAACAAGACATTGATCTTGCTCTAATCCAAAAACCTCTTGTATACAAGGAGCGAATTAGAGGGTTGCATATATCAGCGGACTATGACATGATTCATTCAGCGTCTGGACACCCAAGAACCTGCCGAAGACGAAGAGATGGTCCTTAGGATCTTTTTTGATTTCATGGTGGAAGATGCACCATTTCGCCGCATGCAAGTTTGGGTTTTGCCCTTCAAGTCGCCTGAGCACAAACTCTTTCTTATCAAGGTCAGCTTGCGTTTTCCCTGGGATCCAGAGAGAGGCTTTGGAGAGCTCGTCTGTTACATTCTTGTATTTCAAAGAACGTGAAATAAATTTCGATTTGTAAGAATATCTTTATTGAAAACTAACTGACAATTATTAATCAAAAATGACATCGATCTAGCGATGAAGGTAAACAATATAAAACAGTACGAAATATACATAACATCGTCCATCCTTATAACTGTGCGAGTGTTTTCTCATGTTTTTAAGATTGGTACCTTGGTTTTTAGTCAGGTACGGCCAAAACTTAAATGTGGGTGGCTTGGTTTTGCTGCAGGAGGCGGACAAGATTGTTTTATCCAGCTCTCCCATCAGTGTCTTTTTGACAAGGATTTCTTTTTCGGTAGTAATCTTACCGTAAGGGTTATCCTTGTCTATTATAGCTACTTTCAGGTGGCTCGTAGCTGCATCCTTGTAGCTTATCCTAGATAGAACTTCCGGGGCGTTACCTCGGAAGAGGTGTGAGATCGTGGCCTTTCTTTTCCCTAGTTACGTCGTGTTCCTGGCCTCTTGTGGAGGCAGAACTAGCGTCGCTGTTTAGGGACTTGATTAGGCTGCTTTTGTTTTATTTAAAGTGAGGGGGTTTGCTGAGGGTGGCGGTTGCTGTAGCACTGCCTGCCTGCAGCTTATCCCTCTTCTTTCTCCTTGCTTCAGACCCAGAGATTTTTTTGCCTCTCCGGGGCCTGTTATTTGGAGATGAACTACTGTGACCATCCTCCTTTTTTAAAGGTGGGCGTTGCTGTCCAGCCTTCTGTGCGGGAGGGGAACGTTGTTGTCCAGGCTCCTTTGCAGGAGGTGAGCGTTGACGGCCATCCTTCTTTTTTTGAGGTGATCGTCGCTGTCCAGCCTCCTGCGCCGGAGTTGGACTTTGGTGTCCAGTCTCCTTTGCTGGAGGTGAGCGTTGACGTTCAGCCTCTTTGGGTTCTTGTTTTTGTGAATCCATATTGTTCCCATGAGTAGCTAGGTTATTCGACCTCAGGGGAGCGTTTGCTGCCGCATCTGCTCCTGCGACAATTCATCCGTCAGCACGTTACCTTACACCTTAGACTGGGTGAGTTGGTTCCCAGCGGTAGCCTTCGCAAAAGATTTTGAGGATTTTTAGGCTCTCGCACTCTACTTATGTCTACCACCCGGAGACGCGCTCAGTTGGCACTCAACCGATGAGCCTTATGGACTATTGAGCCAGGTCTGTGGCAGTTAAAACCTTTTAAAAAGCTTTTACAGTTAAAAATGGAAAACAGTTAAAAAGCCGTCAACGGCCCATCGAATAATTAAAGTTAAAAGGCAGTTAATTACAAATTTCAAAAGGGCCATAGAGAGTTTACCGTTACAAATTACTTTGCCATCACATTCGTTAAAGGGCTAACAACGTGCCACAAGTTCAGCGTTTGTTGAGAAAGCATTTCGTTACTGGTTACATAAATAGCTATCAGTCTTTTTAATAACTACTTATGCAATCAGTTACGAAATGTCTTATTTTATGTAACGAGCGAGGTCTTGGAACATGAATGAGTTACTTAAAACGGTATTTTGTAACGCGTTACATACAATATTTTTTCTAATTTTGACTAAATTATTTATAAAATTATGTTTTGGTAAGAAATTACTGATATTTAGGCAACCAATATTACCACTTCTTTGTATTGTTAGTTGCATATCCATCATTTTATTGACAAATAGAACATAATAATAATAATAATAATTTTAAATGCTCAACAACTTGGAGTGTGTTTATATGGTGTATTAAAGTTATTTACTTTTCAAAAAAGTTTTGTCATGCCTGGTGTTTTACCCAGCAAACACACTTACGTACATAAGACGTACTATGTACGTACTGATGGGACGTAAAGTACGTACCATGTACGTACCTTACTGTACGAAGTACGTACATAGTACGTACATAATACGTACATTTTCCAAACGACGGTACGTACCTAGTACGTACTTAAAGTACGTACTCTGTACGTACTTAAAGTACGTACTCTGTACGTACTTAAAGTACGTACTCTGTACGTACCTAATGTACGTACTCTGTACGTACCTAATGTACGTACTCTGTACGTACCTAATGTACGTACTCTGTACGTACTTCATGTACGTACTTAATGTACGTACTATGTTTGTACTTATTCCAATAGAGTATATGTTTTAGACGTACTTCACATCTTTATTGGTACTTACTTATGATGTATAATGTACGTATTAGTGCAATAAAAAGAAAAGTAAACAAGTTAATTTGTATTTATTTAATTTTTTACATTAAAAGAATAATTTAAAATGTTTTGCTATCTTTTTGAAAGTTTTTAGGCTATCATCAGCTCCTCTTAGCCATCACACAATTTCCTGTCCTACAAACTTCTTCTCTTTGTATTTGTTACTTTTTATAGCACCTTCTGCAAAGAAATAATATCAAATTAGAAACTTAACTTTGGTACTTTTTATAATAAACAATATAATAAAAACAATACAACAAAAAGATGTAGAGTAAAGTAAGCGATAGTTTCTACAGCTCAAAATTATCATTGTCAATATACTCCTGGATCTAAACCTCTCTTATTTGTATCCACCTGTTTTGGCCTCATGCCTTTGAAATCCAATTCGTTCCTGCCATTGTTCTATAATATCGGAACTCCTATATTTCTTTTTGTTAAGCTAGATCTCCATCAGTTTTGAAGTCCAATGGTTGGAAGTACACAATTTCATTAGATACAAAAATAATTGTGACTAGATAGATGGGTTTTAATGCAACGAAAACTGGCATTCAAAAATAAAAAATTAAAACATCTTACCCACTTCAACTGTAGCCAATTATAATTTGTTTCCAGCTTATTAGTTAATAAGGCACCAGCAATAGTCCTTTTGACAAAATCCAAAATTAAATTATTAGGGTCTGTAAAATATCACTTCTTTTGTTTAAAATATTAGATACCTCTTGTTTATTCATTTCCTTAAACTTTTTTAATTGTTTTGTAGCATTTTTGTAATGTTTACTATGGGATGGGATGACATATCTATAAATTATATTTATTACACATAATTTTTTAAAATTAAAATGAAACCACTCACCAAAAGAAAATGACGAAACTACGTACTTATAACACGCACTAAAAAGTCTAAATAATTGTCTTGTTCAATTATAATAAATTATACACAATTATTTATTTAATGAAACACTTAATAGTTAAATCCTAAACATGAAAAACTAACAAAAACGAGCGAGTTTAGTTTAGAGTTTAGGTAAGGTTAAATAAATTGGGTTTCGTCATGGTTTCGTCTTTTTTCTTTGCATTTTTTGGCCTACGGTCAACAGAAATTTGGTAAAAACATAGGTTTTTTAATAAAATAGGTATGCAACCAGGATTACGTACACTTAGGTACGTACTTAGTACGTACTTTTCTGTACGTACTGTTGTGTACGTACTTAAAACGTACATTTTAAGTCCTGTACGTACAGTACCAAAACTGTACGTACTTAAGACGTACTGTGCTGTTTGGGTAATTACTTGTGCTGATTTAGAATGGAAATAAGAACCAAAACAACATTATTACTAGGTTGTAAGTTTAACCAAATTCAATTTTTATAAGTCAATTTGCATTTCTTTGATATAAACTTTCAATAATAATATAAAAGTTTTTAAGATTTTAAAACAAAAAAAAATATTTATTTGTAACTGTTTTCTTTTCGCAACTGGTGACATAATGAATTTTTTGTAACCAGTTTCATAATGTACAACTGAGTGTACATTATGCCACTGGTTGTGTAAAGTAGATGGATTGCTACGATTACACAAAATGTCACTTTATATGCCAGAATTATAAAAGTTAATTTAATATCGCAAAATATACTTTTTCTACAATCATTATCCAAAATTGGCTTTTGCGCTACGAAATACAACCGCAAAGTTGACATTAGGTTGACAGCTCTGTTGCTCGCCCAATTTAAATTAGATATAATTTAATATTTCTTTTTATTACATGATGTTGAAGTTATTTGTACGTAGTTTGATGTTTTTTGTTTCATTATCTAAGATAACGTTGACTTTGAATATCTTTTACCATGAATAACATAGATATAAGCAACACATAATACACTACTTACGACAAATTTACAGTTTTTATATCTATTTGTTAAAATAATGTGATCGTAGAAAAAACCGAAAAATTCGTTGCTACTTTTGACGGAAGTAACAAATTTTACTTTTCGCTCTTAATACACAAATAGCTATTGTAATAACCTTTTTATATTGTTTCAGCACACATACTACCTGGAATATTTTTAATTATTCAAACTCTACTAGGCTGTAATATCAGTTGGACAATTATTTTGATTACTATATCGTTGGGAATGAACGGTGCGTCGACGTTAACCAATTTGCAAAATTCTCAAGATCTTTCTCCTAATTTTGCTGGTACTTTGTATGGAATTATAAATTGCGTTGGGAGTACTACTGGTTTTATCAACCCTACAATTGTTGGATATATAACAGCTAAAAATGTACGTATATATTTTACTTTTATAACAGGGTAGCGAAAAAGTCTAGCAGCATGATTTTTTCTCTTCAACGTGAACCTACGTCACGTCTTCTTCATAGTGCCGTTTATCATATACAAATCTGACTAATAATAGTAAAGATACCTTTTGCCTTTTTTTCGTTTACCTTAAGCCAGTGGTCGCCAACCTCTCAATGTGTTGATCTACTTTGTTAATTTTGGAATAAACAGCGAGCTACCCACACGGAAGCCACGTAACCAGGCCCGACTAGAGGGGGGGGGGGTAGCCGGGACTAATTCCCGGGGCCCGGGCTCAAATGGGGGCCCGGCAGCGCTATAAGGGGGGCCCGACAATTGGGTTTTCTGTTCCCGCATGTTTTAGATTAGAGGAGGTTGTTTCGGCAGAGGTCCTTTTTTTTTGAAGAAGAATAATTGAAGTAGGGATAAACTATTTTTGTTAGAGGTGAGGACTTTTTTTTTTCTTAGAAGAAGAGTAATTGAAGTAGGGATCAAATATTATTTTAGAGGTGAGGAAATAATTGAAGTAGGGATAAAATATTTTTTTTTTTTTTAGAAGACGTAATTGAGGAATTGAGGTTAGGAGAAAATATTTTATTTTCGAGACGAGGACCTTTAAAACGAAAAGTTTTTGTCACAGGGCCCGCTGTAGAGAATTGTCCCGGGGCCCGACCTGGCTCTCGGCGGCCCTGCACGTAACGCAACGTAAATGAAATAATCCAAAGTTAATTTATCATTATATGTATTTATTTTACTATTTAACTGGTAAATAATATATAATACATAGGTACTAATAATTAACTAATAACAAAATAACTAATATTACTAGTACGTACTTGTTCATAGATACATTCCTTCCTACCTACCTACCAAACGAAGGTGTTTGAAAAATAAACACAAACTTTTATCCAGCCACAACACGTAATATTTAAAAATAGTTAATAATAACAACAAAAAAGTAACGCACTATCATGAACATAAACATTGAAAAATAAAAAAGCACGTTCAATGAGAAGGCTGACACTCAGACTCATCGATAATTTTTTTAATGTTTGCAGTATAATTTGATACAGCCATTCGAATACAATTATCCAAATGTTCATCTGTAAGTCGATTGCGATATTTGTTCTTAATAAACTTCATATTGGAAAAAGAAAATTTACACAAATAGGTTGAACTGATTAATGCTTTCACTTTCAAGGCAACACGGCATAGAACTGAATATTTGTCTTTACTTACAATAGACCAGATACATTTGGTACTTGAGACTAACGATTTTAAGGCTAAATCATTTTGAAACTCAATTACTTCCATTTCTGTTGCAGCGATGTTTTCGCCAAAGTTCTGCATAACACAAGTTGCAAACTGTTGGATATCAATTTCCATAAAGGGTGAAACAACAAACTGCGCTACTAAAGCAATTTCGTTGAAATCCTTAAAACGATTTTTGAAATTATTCTTCAGGGTGGAAACTATTTCTACATAATATTTGCTGTCATAGGGTTCTAATGGATTTTGAGATATTTTTTCTGAAAGAATAGGAAAATGCTTGGCATCGCTGTTAATTAGGATTTGTTCCCAAAACTCCAGCTTTTTGATAAATGCTTTTATATCAGAAATAATTTCCGCTAGTTCTTTGTCTCTCCCCTGAAGCTGCAAATTAAGTTCGTTTAATTTCTCTGTAATGTATACGAGAAAACCAAAATCTCTAAGCCAGATTGAATTTTCTAGTTCCGGAGTCGGTTCATCGCGTTGTTTGAAAAATTGAACTATGCCAGATAGGACATCATTAAAACGTTTGAGGACCCGTCCTCTACTTAACCATCGGACTTCAGAGTGAAGGAGAAGGTCCCCGTATTGACAGTCAACTTCATCGGCCAAGGTTTTGAATAATCTTCTTTGTAACGCTTGAGCTCTAATCTTGTTCACAATTTTTACCACCAGTTTCATAACGTTGTTTAGTTTCAGGAAATTTCCACATAATGCTTGCTGATGGATAATGCAGTGGTAACAGAGAAATTGCGGAAAAGTTTCATCTTTACGACATAACGCCACCAGACCCTTATCACAAAACAACTCCTGTCCAGTAATGTGTCCTTTCAGTGGAATAAACTTCAAAAGATCTTCTTTAATCGTAAAATCACTAAAAACCATCCTGAAGAACACGGCCATCTGGGCAGTGTCAACGATATCTGTTGATTCATCCAGTTGAAGTGAAAAATAAACACAGTTATCTAAGTCAGTTCTTAACTGTAAAAAAATATCATTGCTTATTACTTCTACACGTCTCATCACTGTATTAGCAGAAAGTTGGCAAATAACGAATCAGCAGCTTCTAAAAACGCCTGTTTTATCATTTTCATGTCTTCATAAGGTTTCTTTTTTTGTGCAACTATCTGGGACACACGGTACGATGCTTCAGTTGCAGCCTTATTTTTGTCGACTGTTCATAAAAATATTGACTGTTGTCCAATTAACTGCTTTTTTAACTGTTTCAGTTTCTTTTTTCTGGCGACAGAATGTAGTGAGAATGATTTTTCAAAATTAGAATGTACAGTTTTATGATGTCTCTCAATATTTCCTTTTTTTAGCAACGGAGACCGAAGTATTACATAACAAACACACATTTTTATTTTTAACTTCTGTAAAAAAGTATTATTCTTCCCATTCCGAATGAAAGTGGTATGTCTTTACCTTCTTACAACTGCTTGCCATAATATTATTTTTTGTTGTTCTCTACTAACCCAACCGCTGGACGTTGGTTACGCGTTCAGTTTTAAACTAAACGCAACGTCGCCGCGCCGTGCGTATTTATCCCGTTCAAAGCAATCCTGATCGTTCTCGAACACTAACGCGCTGGTCCGGCTGGTCGGTTCTAGCCGATTCTAGCTTGATGGCGTCAGTGGCAGATCGCTCACAGCAACGTTGCCGCCGCTGTTTATGTTTAATATTATGACAATTAGATTTTTCTCTTCTCTGATTTTTGCAGTTTGTATTTTTTAAATTAAGATCGTTGTGAGAGCTACCAGAATTGCCTCTGCGAGCTACCGGTAGCTCACGATCGATAGGTTGGCGACCACTGCCTTAAGCCAACGTCATTGTGTTTACTGATAAGCTCAACTTTGATCATTGACCAGAGATAAGAGGAGATGTAACTACTAACAAATATCGTGCGGACCTGAATAAGACATATTCTAAGGGACACAAGAGAGTATAATATCCGCTGTTGTCAGATGCCTAACCCAAAATATTTTGAATCATGAGTTATATCAAATTTAACTAAATTATATGTAATTTCACTAAATTAAATGTAATAATTTTCAATAAATTCCAAAACCTAATAATGGTAAGTTGGAAGTGGCAACAGGGCATACGCCGGCATGGATATCTACGTTGTTTATTATAAACGCACCCTGGCTTACACATTTATTCATTGATAAAATAAAGTTGTGTCTGTAGAGCTTTGTGAAATTTCAGATATCACAGAATATAATAGAAATTAAGTTTTAAACTTCTTCAATTATCTGACTTTTATTTATTTTATAAAATCTGACAATATGACAATTACAATACAACAAAATTATAAAAAGTATAATACAGGGTGTTTAGTTTGGGTGGCATAATAATTGTTCGAAAACATTTGATCGAATGTATTTGATCGAAAAAACATTTTATCGAATAATAATTGATCGAAAAGAAAAATGATCGAACAGAAAAATTATCGAAAATAGATTTGATAGAAAAAGCAATTGATCGAAAAACAAAATATTCATAAAATTATAGAATGATAAGAAAAATGAGAACGAAAATTTTAACTAATTTACCTAACCTGTGTGGCCTATAATCATCGCTGGTTGCTTCGCAAAAACAAAAAATGAAAAATAAAATAAAGCAACGTACTTAACTAATCCAACTTGTGCGAGAGCAATCAGTTAAATTTGAATAGCACAGATTAGGTAAGTTAGTTTTTTTATTTTTATATTTTTTTTGCGAGGCAAACCGCAACGTTTTCAGACTGGATCAATTTAACTGATTGCTCTGATACAGGTTAGGTAAGTTAGTTAAGTTTTATAAAAATAAATAAAAATAAAGAAAAGCTAACTAATTTACCTAACTTGTGCGGGGAAATTTAACTGATTGTTCTGACAGAGTTTAGGTAAGTTAGTTAGGTTTTTTAACTACTTAACTAACTTACCTAAAACTTAACTAACTTATCTAACCTGTGTGAGAGCAATCAGTTATATTGCTGCTGGCCGTACAGGTTAAGTAAATAAATAGGTTAGGTTTTATTTATTTTCCCTTTTTTGTATATTTTTTTTGCGAAGCCATCCTCGAGGGCTCCAGGCCGCACAGGTTAGGTAAATTAGTTAATTTTTTTTAATTTGGTGTCATCGGCGTCGACTACTACGGCCATTAGCCTCGTATTCTGTGTAGGCTTTGTTACTGTTTCCCAGCGCCACTTTAGGAACATCACTGTTAATTAGAACCCAACAGTGAATTGCCGAGTGGGGAATCCTACCTATGCATTAGAATTCATATTTAATTTTTTTTTAATTAAATAAAAATTCCTGCCACCGGTGGGATTCGATCCTAAGACCTTCCGATCTCAGAGTCATGACTCTAACCACTGAGCCAACCCCACCCCCCAGTTAAAATTTTTGTTTGAATTTTTCTTATTTTTCTATATTTTTTTGAGAGGCAAACCGCGACGGCTCCCGGTCGCACATGTTAGGTAAATTAATTAAATTTTTTATACAAAAAAATAATTTACCTAAAATGTCCTATCGGGAGACAACTCGACTTTATTGAAATATATATTTTGTGCGAATTAATCACATTTTTTTAATCCAAATGAAGATAAATAACCGTTTAGCTCTAAAATAATTATTTATAAATTAACAGTATTGTAAGGATAAAATTTGTTAAACGAGGTAGCTATCATTTAAGATTATTGAAAAATTTGTAAGTAGTACCTTATTTTGATAG